CTCTCTCTCTCTCTCTCACACACACACACACACACACACACACACACACACACACACACACACACACACACTTCTGTGACGCTACTACCTAGGAGACACAAATCCCTTTTTTTTTTCTTTTTTTTAACAACCCGAGGAAGGAGACAGAAATCCTATGAAGTCGCGTTCGGGTTTGGTTTGCCAGCGTCTCTTTCTTCTTCCTCGTTGGACTACTCTTGTCTTTGTCCTCTGTCGAAACCTTGTCCTTTCCATTGCCTTCCAGTGCTTCCTTCCACCCCTTTTTTTTTATCATCCTCCTTCGTCTCGTTCTCGCCTTACTCTGGGTCTCGCTGCACTACTCTCCACTCTCCGGGTAATCGGAGAGTACGCGGAGAGTTGTCAGACTCTCCGATACTCTCCGATTTCCCGGAGAGTGGGTCATCGCTGCACTTACTCTACGAAAGCAGACTCTACAACTATGGACGGTACAAAACGACAGCTCAAACTCCCGGTTTGCTTCCTTCCACCCCTTTTTTTTTATCATCCTCCTTCGTCTCGTTCTCCCCTTCTTCTCTCCTTTTTCTTTAGCTTGATTCTTTTGTGTCTGCCTTTTGAATTGCAGTCACAGAAACTGTTGTGCATGTCACGACTGTCACGTTTCATCATTAGCTGTCCTACTGTAGCACGTATCGTGCATCTGACCCACGCTCCCTCCCTCTATCTCGTCATTTGCTCACATGATCTGTTCTTCTACGGCCCTACGGCCCCTCATCCCCGGCACACCCGGATATATATGCTCAGTGTATGACAAAATTCGTTTAAACCTCCTCCTCTTGGAACTGTCGTCAGCATATAGGCCCTTCGTTTAACCCCCCTCCTCTTTTTCTGGGTCCTTTGTAATCTCTCCCCGCCTCTAGGCTCTTGCGACTTACAATTTTCTTGAACACTTGTGAATATGCAGGTGATGCCCCTCCGCCGAGCTCCTTGGGTAGCCAGTGCCAGGTCGTCTTGCCAACTCCCACTGCTGACATCGGCCCTTGCTCGGAAGAAGCGGCTGCAGCGTTGGCCCCAGAGGCTGGAAGCACAGCAGGTGTTTGTACACCACGGGTGACCCTAACGGAATGCCAGCTAAGGACTATTATGGGGGGGGCGTGCCCTAACTGCAAGTATTACTACCCCCACCTCGTCAAGGCCATGGAGCGTTTCGACCTCAACTGCCCGGACCGGATCGCAGCCTTTTTGGCACAGGTTCGACATGAAACAGGGGGTCTTGGTACCCTCTTTCAGCCATCCGATTGCGGAGCAGGGGGCATCCACATGATCCCCTCCAACTTCCCAAGCTTCTTGTCCGGCGAGGGAGCGCTTGCGGACCTTGTGGCTCAGTTCCAGCAGTATGGACTGTCGGCGATCCCGGAAGCCTCCCTGGCATTGGGCACACCATGCACTGGCCAAAAGCTCTGTGCTTCCAAACTTGTGCAGCTGCCAGAGAATGCTTTCGTCACAGCCGCTTGGTGGTTCGCTACAGGAGCCCGAAAGAACATGGCGCACCTTGGTTGTCAGGACCTTCGTCTGGATGCGGACGCTGGTCTGGGCACAGCCAGCCCCCCCACAGGGTTTTATCAGATTTCTCAGTGCATCTATGGGGATATTACGCTTCCAGGTTGCGGCATGGCACAGCGCGTGCAGTACTACAACGACGCCCTAGCGGTGACCAATCTTATGAAGCAGTGAAGGAGAGACTGTATCAGTCTGTATGGAACATGGTAGGGCAATGGTCCTGACTCCTATTAAGTGCTGGTCACACTGTGATAGGATAGCAGGATAGGGGGTGAGCTAGGAGTATTGATGTGAGGATGGGATGGGAGGTGGTCTGATATTCCAGGACACCCGCGGTTCACAGCGCAAGGTAATCAGTGTGCAGTGTGCACTCAGTGACTGGCCTCTACGACACCCTGGACTTTCTAAAATAAATTTAAAAAAAGGAGAAAGAAAAGGAGAGACGGTGTGGAACAGCGTATGCGGTACTACAACGAGGCCCTAGCGAGGCTACCGATAACCATATTACGTACTAGTAACCAATGTAAGGAAGCAGTGAAGGAGAGAGCAGCGCCTAGATTCGTGCTAGGAGAGTAAGAACCTGGACATTATTATGACCACATTCATGGTTTGTACGTATGAACATAACACCACTGGGGTCTCTCTGGCCTTAATCCTATATATATGTAGGAACCCTCTGGGCCTCTGGCTGTATAGGACACAAGAAAGATAGTACCTAGTTCTGGTTTGGTTACCCTGTAGAGTCGAGGGGGTCACTGAGGGAGATTAGCTGCTTTGCCTGGACTTGTTCTTTCTGTTTTCCGACTTTTTCACAAGGAGGGACAGAAGGATAACTGCATGCCTTTGGTGGGTTTTTAACATTAAACGTGGGATGAATTCTTAACGGTCATGATTGTTTTGGCTCCAATGCTGGGGATAATGATGGGTATTTATGACGCTGGTCGAGAACTAGGGGTGCCGATAGGAGCAGACACCTCCAGTACTGTCGGGGAGACTCTATCCACGATTTTCTTAATGAGAGTGCTTTTTTTTTGTTCAGGCCGAAGATATGGCCTAGCTGCCTAGCAGATGCTTTGGCTGTTGTTGCTAGGTGAGATATAGCTGTGTAGAGGTTTTCATCTTCTTTTTGGTATTTTGGGAGCCATATTAATCGGAGCGCAATAATTATTGCTGAATGCTAAGTTAAATGATGTGGTATTGTAGATTCCTTTACGTTTATGTTTTTACAGTTGGATAGTAGTTAGTGCCCCCTGGGGAGGACCTTGCTCATCTACCAAGAGCGCCACATTCAACAAATACAGTCAGTATTGGCAGTCATCAGGCTGGGTTTGGAGCAAGCAGCCTGTACTAAACAGTATCAGTCCCTAACTACCTATCTGGCGCCCTCCCTCTGAGGGTGAAGAGATACAAAGGCAACAGCAGTTCTCCAAGGTCTACACAGGTCTGCTCAGTTAATCCCCTGTTCTGCAGGGCAATCAATGCTGGCAGGTCCCACAGTCACTCACAGTCACTGGTCCCAGTTTTTATTTCAGACTTGCTTTTCTCTGTAAATGGGACGCTGGACCCGATTTCCAGCAGGTGACGCTCCCCACCAATGGATGGAGCCTCTCCGCCGGGGCTAGTGGTGTCTGCTCTTATCAGCAGCACTAGCATCGGAGGGGGTGTTGTTATAAAAAAAAAAAGGGTAGAATGTTACAAGCTAAGATGATAAGATCAGTTCCCTGCAGCTGGTTTCTGTGCAGATTACGTGACGAGCAATGTGGGGACCTAATATATGTATTTTTATATGCTACTCCAGGACGAATCGGTAATCTGTCCCCAATTTTCAGCACTTTTGGGAACGAGTACACTGTGCTATAGTAGAGAGTTGTGTATCGTGAAGGGTAAGCGCCCAACTTGTAATTGGGTTGTCTTCTTGTTTTGTCAAATTTGCATCTTAGGACCCTCTTGGGAGCTCCGTAGTGAGCACGAGTAAACTTGGTGATTGCAAGTTCAGTCTTTTTTGCACAGTAGCTTTTCGAAATTTGGTTTAATAGGATTTCTTTTCCGCCCTTTTTTTTTTTTTTTTTTTTTTTTTTTTTTTTTT